CAGGATGTGTTCCCCAGTGGCTGGCTTGTTCCACTTGGAATATTAATGTGCTCTTTGCTGGGTTCCTTCCTTTCATTCTTTTATTTTATTTTTTAGACAGGGTCTCACTTTTGAAACTATGTAACCTTGAACTCAGTTTGTAACCAAGGATACCTTTGAACTCCTGATCCTCCTCACCATACCTGGCTTGTTAAAATGCTTTTATGGAGAGGATGGTACACATCTATAATCCTAGCATTTGGGAAGGGATGGAAGGAGGATCCAGGAATTCAAGATTATCTTTGGTTACATAGGGAGTTTGAGGCTAGCCTGGACTACAGGAGACCCTATTTTTAAAAATAATCTAAAAGTCTTACTAGGGCCCTTTTGGACTCTCTTGTTTGTTGAAACTCTCAGTCATGTGAAAATAAGTATTAAGCATTTGTTTATGGAATGTAACATTTAATTTTCTGCTTTCTGAAGTTCCACCACGCCAAGCAAAATCCTTCACAGAGGTAAGCTTCATGTGGCACTTGAAAAAAAAAAAAGAATTTGAACAGTTTTAAATAAAGAAGAACCCAACCTTCAGACCCTTAGTAGGAAAATCAACAGCACCTCTTCCCCAACCCAGACACACAGACTTTAATGGGAATATAATCCACTTAATGAGATGTTGTATTTATAAAACAAGAACAATACACTTTCAAAGTGAATGTCATACAGGGATTATAAGGAAAAGGATATGAGTCACTTGTTCCCATGGAGTCATCTTCCATTGGAACGTTTCAATGGTACTTTTTCTCTGATGTTAAAAAGCCTAAGAGTTCTGATAAAGTTGGTGACACAATTTCAGGCACACAGAATTTATTTGCCCCTAAATTCTGAAATTACCAGATGTCGAATGTAAAAACAACAAAGACTATGCCACCATCAACTCTGAAACCAACCAGATATGACTTTATATTATAAACTTGCAGAAGTGTCATCCAGAAAAGAATTGGACCCAACTGAAAAAGAAGTACTAAAAAATCCATATGTTCTTCAAAGAGAAAAATGGAACATGGAAAAGTATGAGAAGGGAATTCTGAAATGTAGCTACTTTCGAAGGTGTTGGCATTCATTATTAAAGTATACCAGACAAAGGCTCAGAACACCCAGCCCTTTGTTGGGAGCCTTTCTTCCATCCAAAAGACTCCTTCCCCGGGCAAGAAGAGTCAGTAGGGTTTGCCATCTTTCTTGTCTCTGATGTACCCAGAAGTGAGCAAGAAATGGAGGAAGTATCTGTTAGCAATAATTCATTACACCTGAACCAAGAAAAGCTCTCCTAGACATGGAAAATGAATACCAAGTTAAAGCCCATATACCTCCAGACTTAATGAAGAATTTGTTCTGTAAAAGTAAGGAAAGCTGTCAACCATCAGTAAACCAAAGCTACAGCTCCATCCTGACTCCCTTTGAGCAGTCAGAAGACTAGATGCATGATTCAAACCATGGACTTGCATTCCATCTTATAGATTGAAAGCATAAAATAACATCCAATCAAGCACTATTTAGGGGCGGACAAATGAATGGCTTATACTCATTAAAGAGTTTCCAGGTCACACTGATGTGACAGAAGCAAAAATGTCTGCATATACAAAATCAAAGTATCACAGTCTACCAATGATCAAAAATGGACTTTCAAGCAATCTTGACAGCTGCACTTACTGAGTACTGACTAGTACCAGGTACTATTGTAGTGTTTCATGTGTAGTAACTCCATTCATCCTCATGGCACCACAAGACACCATTACTACCCTACCTTACAGATACGAAGTCTAAGGTGCAGAGGGATTAAGAGGCTTGTCCTCATCTGCTCAGCTATTCTGAGCAAGCCAGGCTTTGGATGGAGGCAGTGTGTACCCAGAACCTCCTGTCAGCTTCTCTGCCCCTATGCCCCATAAAACAGATTATTTATTTATTTATTTATTTATTTATTTATTTATTTATTTATTTATTTATTTATTTATTTATTTTGGTGTCTTTTAAAGTCAGGAGCCATGAAGCCTCTCAGACAAGTCACGTCTCAGGCAGGTCATGTGCTGGTCAAGAATTCCAACCTGCCGATAAGTAAGGTGCACCACCACGCCTGGCAGAAACAGATATTTTAAACAGCTGCTCTGTATACTCTCAAGGAAATTAAAGAAAATAGAAATCTAGTACTGAGCATGCATCTTTTCTTGGAAACTATGGGAAGAACAAGAAAAAGATATAAGAGTACTGAGAATGTCCCAAGGAAAGGGTTATGTCCATGAGTCTGACAATTAGAAAAATATTACTGGTCATTTGATGAAGCTTAAGAGCATTTGGCAAAAAATTAACAGTAGGTATACTAAAAGATTAAAGCATATTTTTAAATTATAGTTTTCAACTACAGGTATAAGCAAATGTACATGATAAAGTCATGGAAGAATAGCCATGCTCCCTAGCACAATGATAAACCATATTTGTATGTAACATATAATATAATGCAATATGGTATAAATGTGAATTATTCAACATAGCTGTATGTAATATAAATACTTTTACTATTAGTAGAATGATAGAAGTACAAGTGGTGGTGACAGTTAAATGTCCATCCTCTGTACCTTGAACAGAACAGTACGTATGTGTTATTCATAGATATGGCAGTAGATCCCAGAAGAAACAGCTAAAATAGTTTGCAGGGGCTGGAGAGCTGACTCAGTGGTTAAGAGCAAGTTTCTCTTGCAGAGGACCCAGGTTCAGTTCCCATCACCCATGGTTCCTAACAACCTTCCATAACTCCAGTTCCAGGGAATCCTACCCCGTTTTCTGGCCTTTGTCAACATTGCATGACACAGGTGCATTTACATACATGTGGAGAAAACATACATATAAAAATAAATAAGACACTGGGCATGGTAGAGCACGCCTTTAATCCCAGCACTTGGGAGGCAGAGGCAGGCGGATCTTTGTGAGTTCGAGGCCAGCTTGGTCTAGGTAATGAGTTCCAGGACAGCTGGGGCTACAAGGAGACCCTGTCTCAAAAAGACAAAAAAGAAAAAAAAAAATAAATAAATAAATAAATAAATAAGTCAAATAAAATTAAAAACCAGTTTAAATAGTTTGTGCAGAATAAGCATGTGAAGTGGGGAAGTGAGGTCAGGTAGGTGAAGGAAAGGACTACTTGTCTTTTAGTCTAAGCATTTTTTACTATTTGATATTTTTTCAATTATACAAAACCTAAATAAACCAACAACACAAATGAAATATCAAAAACTGTCCTTTAAAAGCACTTCTAAAGTGTTTTTAAAGACTAATAAAAATGTTTTGATAAAAAGCTCTATAAAATGCTTCTTGGAAAGTAAACATTGACTTTTGTGTAGAGGGGGCACCAGTGAATCTTAATTTTCTTCCCCCTGAAAAACAAAGCCACAAACAATATAAAACTTTAAAAATGTGTTTTGTCTAATATATTGAATCACACACTTCTACCCTCTAATTGTGTTCCTTTGATTTTTTCCAAGATACTAAAGAAGGGGCCTTTATTTTAGCGCTTGGGTGGGGGCGTAGCACAACCATCTGTACAGCACATTTGACTACAGGAAAGAGCCACTGTGACTAAAAAGGGCTGTTGTATCAATGCCATGTGAGAGAACAAAATGGTTTTCATCGCCTCATTGTCTTTCAGCGTTCTGTTTATACATGAACCCTGGATTCCCACCACACATAGCTTGCACACCATGTTTCCCTTATGTATTAGGGTTTTTCCTTGACCCATTGGGTTCCCTTGATGACTTCCTCCCATGTATAGGCAAACAAATCTGTCTGCACAGTGCTGCAGGCTGCAGAAGGAGAACATTGCTAGTACACGGTGAACATTCAGTCTGCAGGAAGACAGTCTCAGAACAACTGAATAAAACAGCCAGTACACAAATGTCTTAAGAGACACTGGAAAGCCCAGACAGGGATTTAAGAGGAATTAAAGGGAACCTAAAGGAGACTAGAGAACCCATAACTGAATTTGAAATTGGACACCTTCGCCCTTTCAGGTCGGGGACAGGGAGAAGAATAATACAAACCATGTAAGAACTGGAATAGGTGGTTAAGGTGCAGCAGTAAACAGCAAGGGGAGTACTTGGGCATATGTAAACCAAAAAAAGCAGTTAGTAGTTTGGAGTCCCAGGACATTGAATCAGAAAAGAATAGAAAAAGGCTCATACTGAAAACACTAGGGAAGAAAGCAAATGTGGTGATTGAGAGAATGTACAAGGAGGAGCCAGTGACAAATTGAAGATTATGTCAAATTTGACTTTGCTTAAGAGATTGTGAAATGAAAGTACCTGGACACAGGATTCCGAAAAAATATTTCTGATTTGATGCTTGGATGAAATTGGCATTTATATAGTCTGATTGATTTCTGAGCACTGAAACACTTAATTTATATGATATTGATAATCTCCTTGACTCTTTCCCCAAAAAATATAAACTCTAAAGACTTTATCTCACTCCTTGGGAGAGGGAGTGCACAGGTTTTGTGTGAATTTGTTTGCAGACCCAAAGTAACCTTCCGCTTACAGCCTGTGTGTGTATAATCTGCAAAGTTCCATTTCCTGAGCTAATTATGGATGCTTATGGTGTTTGGCTCATCTCTGACTCATCTTTCTTGACTTCAACTTTCCTAAAATACTTAGCTATCTTCAGATATTTGCATTTTTATTTTCTTCATTTCATGACAATAAAGTTTAAACAAAACTGCTTCAAATAACACTCAGCTAGCTCTCTGAAGAATAAATGAGCAGCTAGATACCCTTGTGGGGGAAGGGAGCTGACCACCATTTCTAGTGCCATCTGTTGGCAGCAGGTGGAATTGACAGGATTCGGATCTGACTGATCTGTACATACCCCACAACACAGGTTGTCCCCTGAGCTGGTTAAGCAAAGGTGCTCGATACAATGCCAAAGTCACCTGCTATTCAGCTAGCCACCAACATTTTCCATTTTCTTTATCTGTCATGAAGGTGTGGCGGGGCACCCTGGCCCGCATGCGGTACAAGAGGACCAGGGCAGCTCTGACAATAATCAGGTACTATCGACGCTACAAAGTGAAGTCGTACATCCATGAGGTAGCCGTACGCTTCCACGGTGTCAAGACCATGAGAGACTATGGGAAGCATGTGAAATGGCCAATTCCTCCAAAAGTTCTACGCCGTTTCGAGGAGGCTCTGCAAATGATTTTTAATAGGTAAGATGTTGGCAGATGTCACAATCTTTTACAGTGGAATACTCACCAATTCTAGACTATGGTATTGGCTCAGCCTTTTGCTGTATGACACTTACCTCTCCCTTCTGTCTTCAGTTTTATTTTCAAAGGGTATATGCTTAACTCTCAAAGTAATGGAGCTGTCAACTTGTCTTTCCTGTAGCACTTGACAGCATCATGCCACAACTCCTGGATCTAAGCCACATTTAAGATAAACCAGCATGCCATCCCCACTTCCTGTCATTAGCAAAAAAAAAAAAAAACACTTAAAATCATCATACATACTTCAAACTATCAAGTCCACTGATCCTTTCAGAGCAGAAATTCTCCATCTAGCTGTGCCTTAGACTCAGGAGTTTCTAAGTCCCAATGCCCAGGCCCCACCTGTTTGATGGAGCTGAAGGTGGGGCCTCAGCTTTTTAAGGTTTCCCAAGTGGTTTTAAAAGTACAGCCAAGAGAGAAAATAACTATTTTAGGCTGTGGGTCTCTCCCGCCCCTCCTGGACTGTTGGCCACCAACCCACAGGAATAAAAGGAGCAGAAGCAACGAATGGGGTCAGGACGGCCAGTAAGCATGACAGAAAAGACCTTCCGGGGAGTCAGATTCAGTGATACAACTCCATTTATTCAGTGGGGGTCAGGGAAAAATATAGTGTGGAGGCAGCAGCCAAAGTTTCAGGTGATAGGTGTTCATAGTATGCTTATTTACATGTGGCAGGGGGATCCTATCATCTGGCTATAGGGCAATGCATAATTATCATATAGAAAAAACCTGGGGGCAGTTTTATTGCAGGTAACTATGCCAAAGGTCATGTTCCAAATAAGGCCAGGTATCCGTGCTTGGAGGCACTTTCCAGATAAGTCAGGCAGGAAGCCCCTCCTGAGAAAGGAGTCCACCTTAACAGCAGGGTTTCCCAACATTAGGCCAAACTTTAAGTTCCAAATTTTAAGTTCCAATGTAAAATTTGGGACCTTCTCAACTAAATTTTCTTTTTTAATCTGAGTTTGTCCTTGCCCAAGTTCCTTCTCATCAGTTTTGCACTTATTTGTTGCCAGCATACACCCACTATATAGTTGTCTTGCAGTATCTTCAGGAAATTCATTCCAGGCACCCATGGTACCAGAATTAACAGATTCTCAAGCCCCTTATAAAATGCTATAGTATTTATATTGAACCTGTATACTTTAAACCATCTCTTGATTATTTCTAATTCATAATGCAATATAGACATTCTGTAAATGGCTGTTATTATGCAGTATTGTTTAAGAAATAATCAGAAGGAAAAATTCTGTGTGTGTACAATAAAATCATGCCATTGCTGGCCTAACTACATTAGCTGTCTGAGGTCAATTGAATCCAGGATGTAACACCCACGGATAATGGAGTGCTGACTCTGTCTAATGCTGTCTTACCTCTAACCATCAAACGTAGTCATTTGATATTATTTCTTTAAAAGAGCACTACTTAGGGCTGGAGAGGTGGCTCAGCAGTTAAGAGCATTGACTGCTTTTGTAGAGGATCTGGGTTCAATTCCCAGCACCCACATGGTGGCTACGAACTGTCCTTAACTCCAGTTCCAGGGGAATCCGAAGCCCTCTTCTGACCTCCATGGCATTAAACGACACAGGTGCACTCACATACATTCAGGCAATACACTCATACACATAAAATAAAAATAATAATATAAAAAAGCACTAAATATAAATTGTATACAATTTATAATTGTTTACTAAATCATATTTTTGTCTTCTCTAAATCTGACTCTATAACTGGTAGAAGATATCCAAAGATTTTTTTAAGAAATGGGACAGGACAGGGGCTCCTCCCAAGCCCATGGGACCCCTGAGGAACAGATCCTCAAACGACCTCAAGAGTAAAAACAAATCAGTTTATCTGGTCCAATTGTATGTCCTTAAACACCCAAAAGGGAAGTATAACCAAAGATTAAAGGGGCCAATATAATTTCATAAGAGCATACATATATATATATAGCTAAAAGTTACTTGACAAACAGCAAAGCCAGACAGGCGATACCTTCAGTCGAGTTGTCGGCCAGGATGGATAAAGGCTCTTCCTGCTAATAACCCAACATACTACTGGAAAAATGAACAGCAGACCCCAATTCTATC